AAAAACAGCAGCAAGTATTTACATATAAAAAATAAAAATAAGGTGCAGAATAAAAATAAGGTGCCTTTAGCTCAAGCTGCTCTCCAGTATTGAGGAAGTGAACTGCTACCCCTCCATCTCCAGCAACCAGTCCCAAATGCCATACTTGGTCCATACCAGGACTTGAGCCGACAACCCTCCAGTTCCCAACCAAAGTCCCTACAGACTGAGCTACTGCTCATGTTCATTTTATAACATGGGTTGAGCTGAGATGAAAAACTACAGCACACTGACACATTCTCACTGAACTTTTGGTACACTTAGTTCTGTTGGCTGAATTTGTCTTTTGAATGAGTTCTGTGCAGATGGGTGGAAGGAAAAAAGACACAATGGTGGCCCAGAGCTCGAGGTTGGTCCACTGAGATTGGCATGTCCTGTTTAGGTAGCATTCTTCACAATATACACATAACACAAGCAACGTACAGGCGAGCAGCTGAATGTAGCTGTAGCAGCAGCAGAGCGTGAGAACTGATGCAGAAAAAAGCTAATCTCGGCTACTTGTGTGTGTTTTTATTCTTACTATTCATCCTAAATATAAGTTATCAGTTGAAAAAAGCATGCAGCATTAAAGGGCCTATCAGACGAGCTGCTGGACTAAAGGGGAGTTTGAACTTCCAGAACAAGGAGCAAGGTGAAAGCTGAAGACAAACACATTGTATGGTGGTGAAAAAGAAACACAGAAACACATGGGGGCAAAATGACACAGGATCAAGCAACAGCGTGTTCGTAACCTCCCCCCCCCCTCAAAAAGACAAAAAAGAGCCATCATAATGAAAACACAGGGGGAAGCAAAATAACAGCGGGGTTCAGCGCATGTGAATAACCTTTCGGTGCTGGAAACACAGCTCACCCTTTCCAGAATAATTGAATTTGGTGTGCTTTGTGACCAAGTATAAAGGCCTCCCTTTGCTGAGCGGCAGGCCCGGCCATGGCTGTTGCATAACAGAGCTAATAAAGGAGGCCTACAGGGCCCGGGGATGGAGAGGAGGAGGCAGACACGTGGGAACTGCCTCTGTTCTGGCTGCTTTGTCTGGGGGCCGCGAGCGAGCAGAGCCCCCGGGCATTAGTGTAGGCATGCCTGACATAACGCTCATTCCACAGCAGCAAAAAAAAAAAAAGGCCCACAGAAGAGCTCAGCTTATCTGCAGGAGCCCCCCGAGCGGCTCGAGGTGTCCGCCATCCTTAAAGACATAATCATCAAACGTGTACGCAGGGATGAGGAGGGTTTGAAAAGTGCTGACTTTACAGATTTGTCAACTTTATCAATACCACAAGTTTTGAACTGATACAGTCTTTGATATTTTAATGATTGATAGTATCAAAAAGTATCTAAAAAAACAACATCTACTCCAGAAGACAGTTGCACAGGAGAGGAATGAATCCATCAAAAATTGCACGCAAACAACAAAATATATATATTAAGTAAAAATAATGACATGTCGGCACTGAAATGTTGCCAATTAAGACGTGTGCAGGAGGTTGCTTCCAATTCATGATGATTAAAAAAAATAATCATTAGCTAATAACGGGTGCCTTGGACTTCTATTTTTGTTGCCGTGGTATCAAATCAGATTCTGATTTTTACTAGTGTTTACTACTTTACGAGTTTAAAATTCTGGTATCGTGACACCCCAACCTGCTTGTGCTAGAAGGTCATGACAGAGGGAAGCTAAACGCCAGAGTTTGCTAAAGAGATTCTCCGTCAGGTATCTGCACCTATTTCACACATCGGTCAGATTTTTCACTACACGCTGCCATCTAACCAAAAACATCTCCGTCCAGCTTCTCCCCCCCCCACCCCGCCTGCAGACATGGACTGTAACCAGCGAGAACAAACTTGAACTCTGGCTGAAATGCAGCTCTGTTACACCACATCATTGACAATTATGTTTCAGCTCAATGGCGCTTGTGTTTTAGTGATTATAGGCGATGATCCACAACTGACATGCCTCTCTGCAGGTCAGTAGACTCGAGGCTCGTGCACATCCCTGACCCGGACCCCTGACCCTGCACAACAAGAAACAACAAGGTGTCCAAACAAACTGTCACAGCTCTTCATTTAAAGGCTTAATCTGTGATGGAACAATTAATAACAAGCATCAAATTAGACAGTCATAAAAATAATATCTTGTCTTTCTTCATAGGTGTCTTCTTTCACCTGCACTTAGGTGTTCACATAAATGCAAAAAAGGAGCTTCTGAGGCTCCAGTCACAGATCATATTATGACCAAAACATGGAAAAGTTTGATCCCAACCAAATAAGGCTTCAGGGCCCTAAATCATCACTGCTGTCATGTCAGTGTCTGACACAAAGGACCAACTAATACTACCCACTCTGACACTTCTTCAATTCATCCACAGAAGAAGAAAAATGTCCACTCTTGGTAATCAAGACTATCTGCTACTCATATGATCAATTTGATTGGCTGATTGACAAAAATGAGTCACAACATTTTGAAAGTAGAATTTATGTCACAGTTAAGACACAGACATGAAAAAAAAAGTTCCCTTCATGTTGCTTTTAGAATTGAAGTATTTGCTGGTTTTCTTACTCTTGTACTTTATCACTTTGTCAAGACAAATAACGGTTAACCAATCAGATTCTGATATTCATCCTATACAAATTTAAATAGCTTTACCTGGAATGAAAAACAGGGACTATCCTGATCTGATGTATTTAATTACGTTGTCATGTATTCGTCGTGTTGAAAGAAACAATCACTTTGTGTGGAGACTTTGAGAAAGATTTGCAAACAACAATCAAGCTTTTTAAACTTCACTCAGCTAAGAAACTCTTCTACATTCTGGTATGAATCCACCTCCATTGGGCCGTCCCACTAGACTTTAATACGGCTTGAGTGCCATTTCATTCTTGCTGTGCCTAAATGCAATATCTGCAAAGATACATTTTTGTCTTTGGTAAACACTGATCATATTTTTGCACTGTTCAAACTGATGTTTAATAGAGCAAACCAATTGTAGACAAATCAAGAAAATTACAGATTTGTCAATCATTAAATATTGGCAACCATAAAACAATTAATGGCTGTAAACTCCATCACAACAATCGCTTTGAGTTCCAGCTCTACTATTTTTTTAAAGATCAGATCACATACTCATTTGACAACACCACAACTAGTTTGACAAGTTAATACCAGCTCCATCCATCCAAAAGCTGATTAAGCTTTCAAACATTGATAACATTGCCATTTCTAAGAGGATGTTAAGTGTTGGAAAACACCTTAAACTACCTCTTCACACTATCTGAATATCACAGTTTACGTTTGGACAACATTTGGTTCATTTTTCTGATTCCACGTCTAAATAATCTGATCACATCGAGGCTCAAGCTCGTGTGCTCGCTCATGTTTTCACACTGAGTTAAAGCCTGTAGCTCAGGATAATGAAGGCCAGCAATAATAACATGTGGTAGATACCAGATCTTTAAACCATCAGCCTTTGATTGTAGTCGTACTTAAACAGAGCAGCTGTCAAACGCGGAGAAAATGCTTATCATCGCTGCATTCAGCTCCACCAGGCTTCACACTCCTTTTTATCTACAGCTGATGGACAGGACGACATTTTTTTTTTGTAAGAGCGGCTGACACTAACCGAATAGCTGACACCTTTTTGTATCTGTTGCACGTTAGCAGAAAGTCAGCTTTAGGGCTGTGTAGTGATGTGATTTATTGGAAATTCAGTATCAGGTGGTGACAGAAGACATTCCTCTGGCCGGGATAACCTATAAATCACTGAGCAGCACCAGAACAAATGCAGAAAACATTCTTTAGTCATGCAAAGAGAAAGAAAGAAAAAAAAAAACTCCACCAGAGCTCAGACGCTGACGATTATGAGATGTTGTGAAACTGCTATCAGCTGCACACAACAATGCTTAATCAACTTGCAAAGGGGGAGTGGAGGGGGGGGGGGTTCTTCAAGGAAAATCAGGTTTCTCTTATCTAGATTACATGCAGCTACTACATTCCCACTGTTGAAATCAGCTGCAAGAAATCTGCTTTGAAAAAAAGTGTTGCACAGAGAGAGAGACAAGTGTTGTTTTTGTCAGAACTTTCCCTTCATAATGCAGCAGAGGTAAAAAAATACTTGCAATAATTCCCAGTAATCTCACAAAGTCTGCTTTGAATGCCTGATTGAGCCTGTTTCTGGGCCGCTGAAATCCCAGTCCCCCACAAAAGCACATCCTTGCAGCTTTCCCAGTGGCCCAACTAGCATTCCTGACATTTTTTCACAAAGATTTCTGGGAGTTGGAGTTTTTAAGCCCTTTGCTTTTACTAAGTTGCATACTTAAAATCAAGAGAAACACGCAGATTATGGGGTCAGTTTATGCCGAAACACAACTTTAGAGAGTTGAGAGCTGCATGGACAGGAAGAGGAGCTGGGTAACAATAGCTCACTGTGCTGAAGCAAGGAATGTTTCAGGTCAGTGGGAGTCATAAATGAGCTTACTGATGAGTCTGATGATTCAGGTTTGTGGAGACAGATTCATGTAAACTCAGGTGACTAGACTGACAATGCAGTCTGCTGTTTCAGGAGACAAACAGGAAACACTGAGCTGCTTCATGTCAGAGCTGTCACACATTTAAAAAAAGACAAACAATCTGAAAGTATTAATGTGAGCTGCTGCACAGTAGGGGACCGTGGGGCGTTACATCCCGTGTTTGCATGGGAACTTCTGAAAAAGATTGGAGGCCACAAAACTGGCTGCCAAATCTCATCTGATTCATCGGTGTCTGCTACAAAATCCACCGCAGCTTTGTGTCACATTAAAGGGGAATGAAGGGGGGTGACTTTACTGCCCCTGGCCCCGATAAACAAAACAAAACTGGCCCCCTCCCTCCTGGCATCTCCTCACTGTGTTAAGTTTGTTATGAGGACCTGCTGAATTAAAAAGACTTTATATGTGTGAGTGTTTGTAATGTGCTGCCAGGCCTTCAGCATACCTATCTCTGGGGTCAATCCATGAAGTTTGCCGGGTGTTGTGGTCGATAAAAAACACTCTGCCATCGTAATCTCGGGCTTCCTCCCAGCCCGCGGGCAGCGGCAGCTCCGAGCTCTCTCTCCGCTTTCCGCCGCTGACCCACGGCATAGCGTCGGGGATGGTGAGAGGGGCTGAAGCCCCCCCTGCCCTGGCGTTTTGTCCCCCCCAAAAAAAGTCGCTCTTCTACTGCATTACAACAAACTCTAACCTCGACGCACTTGTCGGCGCAAAGAAAGTTGACGTTAAAAAAACCGTAAACTTTCCACCGAGGTTGTCAGCTTTAAAACGGCCCAGCTGGAGGTACATCCAGGTTCCTTCTTCCTCTTCTTTGAACCCCGCAGAAAAACAGCAGTGCAAGCTCTCACGGTCCTCGGTCCTCCATGTTCGCCTCCTCCACCATGTTTCATTCCTCCGTGTCCATATTCGGCTCCAGTGCATTTGCATAAAGTGTCGGACGTACAGAGCTGTTCCGTCCAATGAGGAAACTTCAAGGCTCATCTCTCTCAATAAACTTCATCGAGGCTGCTAAAACTAACTTAAAAAAAAATGGTTTAGGATTTTAGTTCAACCCATTCCTTACATTATATTAAGTCACAACAGACGTCTATTAAATAAAACTATTCAACACGTTAGCCTACTATTCAATATCCCACAGACTTGGACAGTTATTTAGGCTACTTCGTGAAATAAATATAATTATCATCAATAAATAAATAAAAAAACTCAAACTAAACTTTACATTTAACAGCGGACAACTCCCCATTTACACAGTGACAAACCTCTAGTGAGTTGAAGACTCAGATCATTATAAATTGTACAGCAGCGCCACCTGGTGTTAGGATAAGAAATAGCATGGTACCACTATAATAACTATACTGTAATAATAATTGTGAATTAATGTAAAAAAATAATATTTTTTAATTTAATTTAAAAAATAATTTTAAGTCATGATGACTACACAAACATTAGGCTATATGTTGAAGTAAAAGGACAAGAAGAAATCATGTAAAAATATCAATATTGAAGCAATACATGTACAATACAGGCCTACATGTAAATACCAACTTCCACACTCTTATGCAATAAGAGATAATAAGTGCAGTAAGAAAACTTATTTATGTTTTCATTTCATTGTACAGTGTTCCCCTTGTTATTTTTTTGTATTATATCTTTGCTTTAATTCAGTGTATAACTTCTGTACAGTTTATTTTAAATCACTTAGCTGTTACTACAACTTGTTTATTTTTACTTTTACTTTTTTTTGTACTTTTCTACTCTTTTTTTCTTACAATGCTATTCTATTTTATATATAATTTTAACTTTTTTGTAGAAGCTGACTCAGGGAGAAACGCACAAGAATTCCAATGTACCTGTACTATCCTGTACCTGTGCAAATGGCAATAAACATCTATTCTATTCAATTCTGTTATGCAATACAACCACATGTGTACACCTGTGATCAAACCCACAAAGAGGTACACTTAAGTAGATATGCAGACATAAATACATAGCAACATACTCATTAGCATACACACAAACATTTTGTCTGAATAATAAAAGCCAAAGTTGATCAGATCTACTTAAAGGGGCAATAAATATTGGAACATCGTGTTTAGAATTGGTACTGCAGTCCAAATTCAAAACATTGGTGAGCAGTGTTTCCCCCGCCCCCTCCTCCCTAGAGTCGATGCGTAGGCCACAGGCTGCATGTCACGGACACGCTTCAGTGTTTAGCCAGCTCTGCATTGGTCTTGTAAACTTTCTGGGCTGCAGCCTCTCTCCATTTTTCAGAAGCATCTCCAATATTTATCCTGACTTTACTATGTTTCTGCTCGTGGAGCTTTTTAGAATATTTCAATATTTTTTAGGTCGGGTAGAAGCAGTTATATCTGAAGCAGTTATATCTGAACCAGTTCGCTTGCCCGCTTCCATCACTGTAACATCTGTTGATTTGCCTGGCAAACCCAGGGAAGTCCAAATGGCCGTGTGGGGGTACCTATCTTCTTCTCTGTTCAAAACGAATACAGACCATTCTGGGCCGGAATGGAAACTTAAATGGAGGACATATAGCTGCTGCATTGTTGTCAGACAACAACACTCAACATAGCATGTTTCCATACGATATCATCAGACATTAAGGAAGAGAGGAGAGGTTAGAGTGCATCCCGATGCAGAGCTGGCTAAACACTGAAGCTTCTGTGACCACGGCATGGCCATGCATGCACATTGACTCTAGGGAGAAGGGGGGCGGGGGTAGACTGTGCTCTCCATTGTTTTGAATTTGGACTGCAGAACCAGTTCTAAACCCTTTCATAGCTACATATTGCTCCTTTAATGTGTGATGACATGCTAAGGTCATATTATGATTAAATTCAGTAATCTTATTGCTCCTTTACATATCCTTACATATTGATCCGACTCCTTCTCTTTAAATATATCTATTTTGTTATTATTATCATATTTGTACTTTAAAATACATTTAGATAAGAGAAGAACAATATTATAACATCATGATTTTGTTATACCTATTACAGATATTAGATTAATATTCCAGTTGGATTAAGTTTTGGGATCCAGGACCTTTGTCGACCTCTTTCTGCTGTGAGCAGGAACTGCAACACCACTGATGATGACACTTATTTCCTCATAGTTTTTTAAGATTTATGTTGCAGTGACTGTAATCCCCAGGAACTCTGCCAAACATTTACTGTAACCGGTTTTTGTTCAAAGTACATTTTCCTTGTCTGTGTAAAGTTTTGATTAAGTTGTGTGTTGGAAACTGTGGAGGAAAATGTGGACTTCTTCAGGTGGGGTTTGTGGATAAGTCCAGACTTCTGTGCACTTTTCCTGCAGGATGATGATGCACCTGACATTCTGTGTGTGTGTGTGAGTGTGTGTGTGTGTGTGTGTGTGTGTGTGCGTGTGTGTGTGTGTGTGTGTGTGCGCGTGTGTGTGTGCGTGTGTGTGTGTGCGTGTGTGCGTGTGTGTGTGTGTGCGCGTGTGTATGTGTGTATGTGTGTGTGTGCGTGTGTGTGTGCGTGTGTGCGTGTGTGCGTGTGTGCGTGCGTGAATGTGTGTGCAGCCGAGCAAATGAGCACTCCATATGGAGACGTCAGTGCAGTCAGCTGAGCATTTTTTTCTGCAGAGGAGGAGGAGTTCTGGCAGGCTAAGCAAGGATTTTAACAGTGCATTTTTGTTGTGTATTTGTTTGTGTGTGTGTTTGTTTTATGTGTGTGTGTGTGTGTGTGTGTGTGTGTGTGTGTGTGTGTGTGTGTGTGTGTGTGTGTGTGTGTGTGTATTTGTGTGTTCACGGCTGGGAAACATTTCCTCACATCAGAGCTTTGATCTATAGCCTCCTACCATTATTTCCCACAGTTTCTGTGTTCATATGAGGGCACACAATAAGCGGTACTGTTGTTTCAGAATCAGTCACATGGAGAAAAAACTCTTCACTGTGAAACCACAAACATGAACATTAAAAATTCCTAATATGTCATCCATAGTGTCTTTTTGTTTTTGTTGGAGTTTAATTTACATGATTATTAACTACATATATGTTTAATGATCACAACATCTCCTTTTGCATGAAGCAGATATCATTTTCTTTGCATGATTTATTAACATGGATACTAAAATTTATTATTTTCTTAGGACTGCCTCCATGATTCATTGATAATTATGTGTTAATGACTCTAGAAATTACTGTTGAGAGCCAATCTAATTCTAAATCACAAAAACTGCATATTTTAAAAGTTCTAGATATTTTGTATCTCTTTTAAGGGGCATAATAACCTGACCATTAGCTTTAAGTTGTACCATGTTAATAACTTATTTACACTTGATGACACACAATATGCATTATGATGTTCATCAAGGAGTCTATCTTTTGCATACAAAATGCATAAAAATCATATCCTGTCTGCACATAATTGCCTCCCTTGCGGCCTGCTGATGGTTGAGTATGGCTGTCTCTGCCCCTGCTGCCCATTGGCACAGCAGCAGGAGCAGGAGGACCTGAAGGGGGAGGGCCAATCGAGCCCCCCTCTCCTCCCTGCAAACAGAAGATGTGAGCTCCTCTGAGTGGGGAACTGTTTGTGAACGAGCCGCAGAGCCTGAGCGGTGAACCTCAGGTGTTTAGAGCAGCCACTCCATCTGAAGAAGAAGAGGAAGAAGAAGAAGAAGAGGAAGAACTCTCGTGGCTCTGTGAAGCGTGAAGGCCAAAGAGGGAGAGAGAGAGAGAGCAAGAGAGAGAGAGAGAGAGAGAGGGAAAGATGGACACGTGCGCCTGCGCTTTGGAACTGCTGGGGATGCTGGTGTATATTGGATCATGGCTGTGCGCTTTAGCCACCACCATCCTCCCACAGTGGCTCACCATGTCGACCGCTCTGCTGCCCGTCGAGAGCTACGAGCTGGGCCTGTGGGAGACCTGCGTGGTGCAGGACGTCGGGGGGATGGAGTGCAGAGCATATGACAGTCTGCTGGGCCTCTCCAGTGACCTCAAACTCGCCCGCATGCTCATGTGTGCCTCCCTGGCTGTGGGCATGCTGGGAATGCTGGTGGCCATACCTGGACTCTACCTGGTGAACAGCTGCAGGGAACACGGAGGCTACAGAACCAAGAGGACTTTGACCATCATAGGAGGCGTGCTGGGGATGCTTTCTGGGGTTCTGTGTCTTATTCCTGTTTCCTACATGGCTCATTTAGCCGTGATACATTTCTTTGATGATAAAGTGCCAGATGTGGTGCCTCGGTGGGAGTTTGGTGACGCCTTGTTCTGTGGCTGGGCTGGAGGGTTTCTTCTCATAGTGGCAGGGCTGCTGCTGGTCTCCTCCAGCGTTTGTGCACAGGTGGAGAATACGCCGGCGCTGCAGAGGAGACATCAGCTTATGGGGACAGATGTTTCCTTCAGGAAGCGCTCAGAGTATGTTTAAAGGACAAACTATGAACCCGCTTAAAGACTGACAGCACAACACAATCACCTAGAGCTGCACTTCAATCTGCTCTCAAATCACGATGTAAATATCAAAGACAACATCCTGCATTGTAGTTTCTTTATCACATGTGCAAAAAATGGATCAAATGTTTTGTAAAAAACTGTAAAAAGAAAAATAGAGACCTTGCAGCAAATGTGCCGGTAGACAATATGACAAAATACCTTAAAGAAGCTGATGTGACCAGAAAAATTACTTTTGTATTCCTTATTTTTCAGGATCAATGCCAACAATAAAGAAAATGTATTTTTTAATCCTTTAAATTGAACATATTACCTTTTAAAAATGCTGTGATTGTAAATTAGTTTTTAACGCTTAAATCATAGATAAAGTGACAATGAGTCTGTGCCTAGTTATGTGCAGCACATTCAGATGATTTCTATAAAGTATCTTATTGAAATATTGTGAAAGGTTTTCTCTTTGTCTTCCTGTGTTGTGACTTCTGCAGGAAAATATCAAACCTGGTCGTTTATAATTTTTACATTTTTGTTGATAAATGAGAATTTTGTGGCCAGAATATGAATGAAAAACTGAACATTTTGTCTTTGGTTGAGTCAGAGGTGGAAACATGGCTGCTCTTTTTGCTTTTTCCTTGGAACCTAGAACCTATTTTGGTCTGTATTTGTCCCCGGTGGCTCTGTAAGCAGACAACAAGCTGAGCAGGAGGAGGAGGAGGAGGGTCAGGGAGAGCTGAAAACAGGCGTCTTGGTCCGTTGGGTGTGTGTGCGGTGGTGGAAACTCAGCTTGAGACTAATTCCATCAGATTTCCTGGTTGCTCGCTGAGCTAAGCTGTGTTTAATGAATGCTCTAATGGGCAGCGTGTACCATGAAGAATGCTGAGCAGGTTACCCTCGGCGGCTCCCGCTTTGACATAATTACACAAATTTGCCAAGGTCAGAGGGCGTTGGCGCTCTCTGCACTCCATAACTGTCTGTATCATTTACACACACGCAGGTACACTGATGTGAATATGTTGGTGCATGAGAGGAGGATGATTTTATAACCTTTTGCAGGCTTTTTCCTGCGGTCAGCACTACATTGAAGTTAATGAGAGATAATGATGCTGTCACTGCAGCATATGTTTCCTAAAGGGGCTCAGGGAATGACACAGTGTTGGTTTTAAAGAAGTGAACAGTGTTTGTGTCAGAGCCAGAGAGCGTGGAGAGTATTGCAAGACGCCCTCCCATCGTCTGACGCCACAAGGGCTGCAGGGAGAGAGGGCCGGTGTCTCCTAGAGTGAGGGCAGAAATCAGCAGGGGAGGACAAGAAAACAATTGCAGAGATGTTCTTTTGGATTACAGTTTGAGTCTGTGGGAGGCAGACAAATACAAGACAAACAGAGGAAATGTCTTCTTCATAGGATGTTGAAAAGAATCCAACAACAAACAAACACACCTGATCCAAGCGGTTGATAAGCTCACAGTGAATCAAATTGTTCATCATCTTTATAAACTGACTAACTGTAACATGACCCTCTATATGCTGAGAGTTCAGATGAAGATAACTGATTATCATATCTATAATCAGATATGAAAGTCAGTGCAATAAGTTAGGGATTAAAGTTCTGTAGAATCAGTTTTCCACACTCATAACTGATAAACCAAGTTGATAAAGCTCCTTCACCCTCACAACTACCAACTACCAAATCCCTTTGTATGTGTCTTATCTTCAGCCAAGGATGAGGAGAGAGTAAGAGTGAGACAAGTTACAATATAACTGTGGGGGAAAAAAAGTGAAGTAAAGGGTCTTCATTTAAAATTCACTAATTATTATAACCAGCTAATTATTCTGAAAATGTGACAGCTAAAGTGTCAATTTTGCAGATCACATGGCTGTTTGAAAATGATCCGAGTGGTTTATTATTTTTTATTTATTTTGGAGATTATTTTTGGGATAAGAAAGAAGACAGATCAAATTCTGCATTGTCTTTTTTTGGAGTATTTCGTCTTTCTCCTTTCCTTTAATCAAGCTTCTTCTTTAATATTTACCCTTTTTAAAAGCTGATCATATACAGTAGGTCTTTGTGTTATCTGAATCTTTAAAGAAATAAACAATTGTTCAATCGTTTAAATGAATGTTGTGGAGTAAAAATTACAATATTCCCCTATGAAATGAACGGAAGCCCAGAGGGGACATGCTTCCATAAATTTTGTTTACTCCGTTTTCTTGTGACAACATGTCATTTCTGGTGTTTTTCTCAAGCTCTTTACCTATTTTTCCGGCATCTGGAGATAACAAAGCTTGTTTTTTCATGATAGCAGGATACTTTTCTGGTTATCTAGAAAAAAAAAATAGGCTGGTATCTGTGATAGGCCAGACCACACTAATGAGGTTACTTAAACTTATTTCAATGTTTGTTTTGTGCTTTTGAAACTCTTAGTATACAAAATAAATAAGTCAAGATAATCGGAAAACACCCTGAAATTACTCTTTATCAGGAAAACTGAATAACTTAGATGTATGGATGCATTCCTGCATCTAGGCATACAAATCAAATTTCTTAAATGGTACTTCAGTTTTGTATTTACTTTCTGTCAGTAATGATGGCACTGAGTATTAACTTCTATTTGATTTTGAGATTTTTAAGATGATTACAGGAACCTCATAAGAAGATACAAATGTATGCATAATTGCACTTTTTCTTGAAGTCTCAGCTTCAGGTCTAGTAGTCTCTTGCTGCAAATCACCTTTGGTAAAATATTTCAAAATTAATCCATACATTTGAGGTTTTATTTTGATCTAACTCCTCCTTTATGGAGCCTCTGTTATCAGTGTTTTACAGAGCAGATGATAGAGTAGATGACTAAGCATGACCGATTAGATAAAACATAAGCAGCTCAGGGTATCATGTCATACAGACTTATCTGTAGAGGGGAGTGAGCAAGAGACAGGTGGGAGGCAAAAGGATGAACAGAAAATTATTTTAAAACTCTTCCCAAATCTCTTATCTAGAGGAATGTTTTGAATAATATTTAGCTATGCTCTATCAAAGTATAATCAGTGGTTCTCATATTACTGATTACTGGCAGAGGCTAACAATCTTGCAGGAGTGCTCAGAGCACGTCTACCTTTCATCCACTTCTGTGACTTGTGTTTTTGACAGAGAGTTGTGTCGGCTGAAGAGGGCCTTTTGTTTCCAGCAGCCAGCCGCCTCCAAAGGGGAGCAACGGGCCACTGGGCCACAAACTGTGCGTCTCTCTCTGTAAGTGTGTGTGTCCGCTCAGGCAACAATCACTCTCTACATACTCACATGCCTGCTCTCGTCAGCCTCCTACCCGGGTCACATGAGCAGGGCCCCCAGTCAACCTGACCTGCAGAGATCCTCCACACATGGGGCCCGTTAGAAGCCCACACCTTGACATGTTTTGTCACCGCCCCCGGCCAGCCTGAGCAGCAATAAAGGTGATCAGTCATTACAGCAACACTTCACTTGCACTATTGAATTACACTGCAGGAGAGATAAGGTTTATTATAACAACAGCAGATATGAATCTGTCCCTGAACTTCGGCACAAATGCATAACAACTAGATTCATGTAATATGAACCTTATAGAATCTGATAGAGTCTGAATGAAATAAAACGTGAAAAATCATCTCACATGTATTTAAATAAACTATCAATGCAGCTAGGGTTGTCATGATATTGAAATTTTAAACATCAATACAATACTTGTAAAAATCAAGCAATATTGATACCTGTTTCAATGCCATGGCAGTAAAAAATATAAAACCTTGGAATCATAAAGGGTAATTTCTTGTTTTTAATGATTGAAAGTTGACAGCAAACTCCTGAACACTAAATTGTACTTATCCGATGCCAAAACATTGCCAACATATGTACATTTTAGACAGTGTTTGAAAAGTATTGAAATGTATTTGACAACCTCATAAGCAGCTAAAATAGCAACATTTTTTAAAAAGTTGATAGCATTATAGCAATTAAGGACATAAATAATCAAAGTGACATAATAATAACTCCCACTATGTTCTCATGTCATTACTGTAATCTGCTGGATCTGTGAAACTCAACTGTTTACCCAACATAATGGTAAGCTAAGTTAGCTAAGCCAGTGAAGTAAGAGCTAACTTTCCTAACAACTTTCCTTCAGAATTTGTTGAAGAGTGAGAAAAATCTGCGTAACAAACTATAAAGAAATGCTAGAAGTCACGACCCAGTCGGCTATTTGGCAAAGTTAGTAACATATAATTAGCAACAAGCTGGTTAAGAAAATAACATTTAGCAGCTAACCTAAACTGTAAAATAGCATCTCATAGGAATATGAGATGGAAAAAGTAAGCTACAAGCTGTGAAACAAAGTGGAGCAGTTAGAAACAAAACTAAATTTTTTAAAGCTAAAATGAGCATGCCTAAAGTGGTTCGTCAATAAAATATGAGTAGTAGCCTAAATGCTAACTTTGCTTCATTTGATGGGAACACACAAAGTGCTAGTTAGCAGAGTCGCCATATGGGAGCGAAGTTTGAAGTATTGACTGACTGAGATCCGAAAAGATCCTAAAAGATTCATATTTCTTCAAGTAGTAGCAGTTTTTATTTTCACTTCATGGTCACAGTATGAATTTACAACTTTGGTGCTGGAAAGGGTGATCCATTTGTTTCTCACAGATTTTTTTGGGGGTAAAATAAAATGGTAAATGTTTTCCACCGTATAGGTTTTAATGTTGAACGCTTTAAGTCCTCCACGAAATTAGAAGTCACTTTGTCATGGATCAAAAATATGATTTTGAACTAGTAAATGGTTCCTGACATTAGGTTATTTGTCATGACAATTCCTCGCTGTGAAATGCAGGATTATCTGTGCCCTGGTTGCATCCATTTGGTGCTTCAGACTGCTGTGCCAGGCTGGTTTCTGTCCAGGGCCCGTGTAAGGGATCCTTGTTGTTCCTGGGAACCTCTGAGCTCAGGGTCTGCCAGGCGTAGCGGTAGCAGAGAAAAAGAAGCCCACTTATAAGCATCATTATGGAGGCCATGATGCCCACTCCAATGGCCGAGCCGACCTGCTGCTTTACAGGGGCAGCAGGGAGGTTAAACTCAGGAGGAAAGTCTATAGTCCTGTTGTTCAGCACAGAGGTCATGTTCCAAACCAGCGGCACCAGACACAGCCCCGCTGTCAGCACATACAGTGTCCCTGCCAACAAAAAAAGCAGTCTTATGTTGCTACGGTCCTCCAAAGAGAAGTAAGCGACTCTCAAAGCCATAGCAGCGCTGATGTTTCCTGCCAAGCCGCAGATCATCCCAAGCACCATCAGAACCTGAGCCACAGGGATCTCTGTGGGGATGAAGGGGTCCGAGATGCTGATGCTCTGACAGGTCTCCATGCTGGAGAAATAATGACTGAAGAAACACGCCTTCCAGATTCCCACCCATGCCACCCCCGAGGAGATGACGGACACATTCTCCACGTGCCACAGACGCCACTCGTTGATGCCAGTGGTGGTCATGATGAGGATCCAGGCTAAAACCCCGCCAATCAGGCCCAGGAACTGCCAGTGGGCCGTGTGGGACATGTAAATCATCCTGCTTGTGTGACGCTAACACTCAGAGAGACTGAATGATGACTCCAGTCTGACATCCATCACAGCTGCTGAAAACACAAAGACACACAACTGTGGTCAAAGTCTTAAGCACAGCCTTTCCCAGAAGTGGGTCCAATCGATTCATCTGGTATTTTTTATCTAATGAAATTTGCTAAATGTAAATAAACTGCTACATAAAACATGAGAGGAGGAAAACTGTCTACTGACTCAAACTAATGTTTGTGACTCTAACCAAGGATATTCTGCGATTTACCCTAGAAGGACCCTTTAAACCAGGACTTTCCACAAATATATGGGGTAGTAAGACATTGAGAAAAGTAGCCGGCTAGGAGGGTCCCAGTTATGCCCTCGAAGACAAAGATTTTGTCAGAAAAATTCCAGACCTGGTGGTGGCTTTTGGCTTCAGTAGCAATTGCTGCCCTTAGCTCTTTGAAAAAATGCCATATGGTACCAGCAGGGGTGTGTCCAGACTTTATTGACTAGGGTGGCCCACCTGGGGCTCTGACATAAGGAGGGGTGGCATTACGTTTGTGGGTATATTACATAATGAATTCAATTTTTTCCCCCTTTCTATCCCCACTAATGATATGTACATGTAAGTTACACAGTTTGGCAAAACATAAATCGTCTTTGTTTGATTCTTTAGTGACTTAAAAAAGAAAGATGTTTATGCAAAGTCACAATTTAAAGTATTTAGTAAAAATATATGCAAACTCTTGCACACTGTTTAACTTACAAAAACACCTCTGGACACATCCCTGGGTACCAGAAAATTATTAAATTTCACACTGTAGTGTGTTTACTCATTCAATTTAAGAGAGTTTGTGATTTATTTTCAAGGATGATTTCCCCCCACTCTGTTCCCACCTAGTCTGTAAACAGATTTTCATTTTTAAAACAATGTCTTGAAAAAAGGGTTTGGCACAGACTGGCATCTTTCTAACTTGAAGCAGTGGTGGGTATTCTTAAATTTTACAAGAAAAAAGACTTGTGCATTGTAATTTAAAACTATATTTATATATCATAATCAACAAAAGAAAAAGCAGCAGGCTGCATTTTATTCCCGACTGCCAGCACTTAAAGAAATGATTATTGTTGAGGTTTTGAGATAACCTCCTCAGACATTTTGTGTGCAAACTCATACAAAGGATTTAAAGATGAAATAAAGACAATATTTTCTTTGAGTCAGTTATCCACTGACTTGAATACCACGTTGTCTTCATTGGGACTACGTTCTCTTAAAGGAGTGAAAATGATTCTGTGAGGTTTGTTTAGCAGGTAGAGAAAATGAGAACACAGCGTTAGACGTCATTCCTTTAAGAGTCCCTATGCAAACATTTTGGTCAGTCCCCTGCAGCAAAAGAAAAACATGCAAATGTTGAACTATATAAAGCTACATGAGCTGCGTTTACAGGATGTCAGTTAGGTTAAACAACCAGAGGAACTACACTACACTGTGACAATAGGCCTTCTTTACAAACCGGGAAGTCATTATTTGCTGTAAACGTTAAACTTTACTCGTCCAAAGTTAATACAAAATGTAGAATCAATCAGATAAATAAACCATTATGTCACAAAGTGTTCCTGGACCGTTTGGGGACACCTGGAGGGTTTGGGATCCTAGGACCTTTCCTCCTTTATCCAGAATGTAATTATTTTTAGCTTTAAAGAGGGGGGTTATGCCTAAGAGAGGACTCTGGTCTGGTCTGATATGGTTTTGTACAGTTTTGCTACCACTCTGCTCTACACTATCAAAAGTATATTATATTTATTTATGTTGTCATGTATCTGTATGTAAAAGTACAATGAAATAAACTGAGTTGATCATGAACAGCTGCAATATGCGAAGGTTTATGAGGCATTCTGTGGTTTATAAACACTAAACTACACATGGAGTCAGATTCTCATAACATGCATCGTCATGACTGTGAACATGACTGAAGAATCAAACATCTGCTGCCAACATAGTGTTTGTGTGATCCCTCATGATAACTGCAATAACTCTGCTTATCTGCACAAGATCTACATGTAGGACATAGTATCATACATTAAAATGCCCATGGCAATGTCCCATAATCACAAAATTCTGTTGCCAAAAACTAGTTACAATCCCGTTTGATCCAGACTTGTCTTTTGAGAAAGTAACACATTTGAAATTTGACCAAGGGTCTGGGAAATGAATGTATTTAAATCTTGTTTTATATTTTAAGAAAGTAAATTGCTTGTCCTATAAACTTATCCTTAACGGTGGCCTGGGAGGACAAATGCACACATATTTCATGTTTGCTAAAAACGTTCCACCAGATCCAAGAACACTTCATTAAACGCAAAAATATTTCATACATCGTGAATTCATTTTGAAAGAAAACTATTTCATGAAATATTTATTACTTCATCCTCACTGCCTACTTCCTTGTACTTCAATCACACTCATGTTCCTCCATCTCTTCCTCCCTCATTGACGGGATTTCCGTCCTATCACTTACTAGAGGAATGGTCCGACTCTTTCCCGTTTCTCAAATGTATTTCCCCAGAACTTGAAGGTTTGTTTTTTTTAGCAGTAAGTAAAAATGTTTTTAATGTTTCATGAAATCTTTTTTTTTTCATTGAGTGAAATATTTGTGCAGTCAACCTTCAGGGCCACCGTACAGTCCTCTACCTCTTAATACTAAAATGGATAACAAAGATAACTAACTTAGTGAGTGTTGATTTTTCAGGCTCTTACAGCTTTGTATTCAGTACAGAGAAACATGACTATATCTCCTTCTATCAGGGCTGATATGAAGGTCCAGATACAGGCTGAGGTGTGTTGCTAACAGGTTTTTCATTACGTATGTTACATTACATCCTCATTTATGTCTCATGAGTATTACGTCATTAAGTTATAGTGGTAATAATTTTTAGAAAAACTAAAAATCCTCCCACAGATTTGCAAAGCTGTCATTTCTAGAAGAAAACGTTAAGTAACTATCATGCAACAATCTTATGGATGAGACTAAATATACCTGCAACACACAGCTTTATGGCTTTCTTTTAACATCTGCTCCAGGAGAGATCAGTTCAAACGGTAAGATAACAAAAATAGTTTTAAAACATAATATTGAAAGATGAATAATGTTCAGAACTAAAATAAATCTTCTTTAGGTTACAGTTCAATGTCAGGTAGTTTGTTGTCCAATTCCTGTAGTTAATAATTATCCTCATAATTCTTTTATGCAGTCAAATAAAACAAACCTTTGTTTCCGTAAAAGTTGTTTTGTTTAACTCACCTCGATGTGTCTCCGATGTTGTATTCTCAATAAGGTGATGTTTTCATCACGGGGTAATCTGAGCGACGGTTCACATGTTGCTGCTGACATGTGAGACACAGTCGTACAGCAACACCTGACTGTTAAAGATCTGGTCATGTCAAAGTCTTTAGCTTCCACATTATCAGCAGAGAGGAGGGTGTGGTGAGGTTAATGAATGACAGCGAAGAAGGAAATCAGTCACACGCTCCTGTGTGGTTCCAGCAGACTCTTTATTTGATATAAAGGAGCACAGCTGATAAAGTGTTAAAGAGTCAGGCTGTAGCAGTGCATGAAGCGTGTGAAGCTAATGTGCAGAACAAACATCCTCTAATTAAGACTGACTTTATCCGTACAGTCTGAAATTCAGACTGAATCTGGTCAACGTTTGCAACCTTTTCTCTCCATATGTGGTTACAAGATAAACCTGAACATTTTTTTAGTGACAGAATTGAACTAAAGTCAAGTAACAGCTGTGATACTATGCATTCAACATCAGCACCGTGAAAACAAAACACAGTGAAGTTATAAGACAAAATACAGAAACACTTGGTCAACTCATACGTGGCAAAAACATCAATCTAAAAAAGTTTTTTTTTTTTTATTTCTGGCTGTGAATGAAACGTGGACAGTGTTGGCAGTGACTCCACAGGCACTTCAAACGTGGATCTCACTTGAGTGAAAGTCTGAAAGGTGAAGTGGTGCTGTTCTTGTGTTTGGTGAAGTTGAACAAGTGCTCCTTTAAACGACCAGTTTCTCCCCACAGGTACATTCACCAACTTATTCATCATCCGTTTATCATGAAAGAACACTCTTCTTCAGTGAGGAAAGCAAGGGCACAAAAATCTTAGTAAAAAGGCCACTATAAATGTTACCAAAAAACACTTGTGTTTATTGAAATATTTCGGCCAGATTTTGATGAAGAAGATGTGAAATTATTTAAACATGATAAATACTCCTATTTGCTCACACGTCAGGTAGCACGGCTGCTCAAATCAGATGAAGATAAAATACTGTCCCCCTCCTGCGCAGATTCAAAAGGCTACAATAAATTACTAAAAAAAACAAAAAATAAAAACAAAGCAAAAATGGCGTGATAGAAATGAGATACAGTGGTCGGGTGAGCCCAGGAGAAGCAGCATCTTTCACAGGGAGTTTGTTTAGATGCTTGAAATCCACGTGTTGTTATGGCAGAAGATGTGAAGAAGTAAAATGTCAGAAATTGCAACAGGCTGTTTGCCTCTGCAGATTCTCTGTCTCCCTCTGCTGGACGCAGGGCTCATCTGCATCTTGGAGCAACAAAACCTGTCTTCATGATCAGACTTTGGGCTCTGTTCTGAGTCAAAAATGGTCCAATGAGTTCAAAACACCAGCCTCTGCTCGATGGGCAGGCTGTCTGTCAGACACTTGAGCTGCTCGTCGCCCAGTTTGATTTTGTCCTCGAGCTTGCGCTGCTCGATGATGAGCGCAGACTTCATCTTGACAAAGTGCTCGTAGTCTGTGAGGCTGTCCTCCTGCAGGTAGTTGGCCAGAATGTCGTAAACAACACGCTCTCGTCGGTCCAGGTTCTCCTTCAGCTCCTTGGCATCCTCATGCTGTCGGATCAGCAGCTTCCTCTTCTCGATCAGCGTACGCTGGAGAATTAAGGATCATGAAACATGTAAGGATTAGAAGATAGACCAAGTTTTGCACATTATATTTATAGATTATTAACACATTGTATTTTTGTATTATTATTTTATCTTGCATGAATATACTCTCTGCACTGCGGGTCAGAGAGAGACAACTTCAGATTTTTCTGTATGTCCAGATATGGCAAAATGTGACTTTTGACTTTTCTCTTCAATTAAGTAAAAACTCTAACAAATCAGAATATAACCTTGTGTGATCTTATATAATCTCCAGTTCAGTTATGGGAAGCAGATGGACACTAAACAGAGACTGATCTGATGAAACAACTACCTTCTGTTAAGTTCATTTTTCTGCAGTGAAAAAAAAAAAAAGCAAAAGGTTGAACCACTTTGATAAAGCAATGGTTGTCAGTTGTTAATTCAACTCAGGGCTATCTATTTTCTTGCAGAGTTTATTACCTACCGAGGTAATTAGTATGACAATCACAGAGATTTTTATTTTTACACATATCTAAAATTCTTGGGTCCCTGAGGAGTCTCTGAGTAGTTCAGGAATTTAAAAATAGGATATGTAAAGCCCTAACATAACCACTTAAACATGCAGAAAATAAGCATCCACCAAAGCCAAATTCTTGATTATTCCTCTGATCAATGTGAGGCATGAATGGGAGATTAATTGACCATTAACTCAAATAGTCATGGACTTAAAAGGGCTGCATTTACTCACCCTCTCTTCTGCTGTAGCATCCTCCTCCAGACTGTTGAGGGCGTTCTCCACTCGGGCCAGACGGCCCGACAGAGACAGCAGCAGGCTCACCACCTTATCAAGGTCTCCTACAAACATCCTGAACTTGTCCAGCTCGTTAGGTTTGCACACCTGCTGGACTCGAGCCTCCACGTCGTCTCCCAGAGCGTTGTTATCCAGGACGTCCTCCTGCAGACTCTCCCGCGCCTCCCGCAGCACCTGCAGCTTCTTGCTCAGGCTGTCAATCAGCTCTTGCTGCAGAGTGGAACAAAGAAGCAGAACTCATCTGAAGCTGACTGAAAGCAACACATTTTCAGGAGCATATGTTTACCTGAAATAAGCAGACTTACAATATATAAACATGATAAGTGAGTGTGTGGTTACCTTTTTGTTAGCCAGGTCGATATCCAGCTCGTCCTCAGAGTCTTCCTCCTCCTCCTCCTCCTGCATGTCCTTCATCTTTATAAGGAGTTCAGCTTTGGGGGCAGAGGTGCTGTAATATGTAGAGCTGGTCACCATAGCAACAGCTGCAGCCATACTGTCCTCCTTCTCCCTAAAACAAAACAAAAACAAATGATGTTTAAACATTAAAATACCAAAAGCAATGACATTCATGCAAGAACAGTAACACAAAAACATTTGTTCTTGAGAGCACAAATGATTTCACAAAGCGTTTCGCAGAGCAGAGCAGCGAGCTGAATCTCAGACTCAGGGACACACAGCATCTGAAATCACCATGCATGTCTGTTTAATGTGTCGGCCCACTCTGATTATTCAGGAAACATTGGCAGGAAATATAAGCTTGTGTGTGTGAGGGAGTGAGAGCGTTTTTGTCGATGTGTTTATTTGAGACAACTGAAATACACATAAATCTAACGTAAACCTCCATCTGTGGAGTTTTCTACTGACAGTTGTCAATGCTCCGTGTGACAGTGTTACAGTGTGAGCTCTCAGGTCGTGGATCAGGTCGTACAACGTGACCTCATAAATAGTGAGCTTTGGTCGTGCATTGTAAAAAAATTCAGCCTTAAGTGTGAGCTGACATTTCACCGCGACTTTAATACAATCGTACAGTGTATGCTGGGCTAGATGTTTATGGTGTCCACCTTTATAACATTTCATTCTTTATTATTTGACACTGAAACAGTTTCTAGTAGCTGTGTTTGTAGTTTGTATCAGGGCAGCTATTCTAACTACGGACAGTTACATTTGTCTATGCAGAGTTCTTCTTTTTACCCTTTGGTGACATATTTTGAACCAAACTGCTGAATCCAGCTGTCTGCTCTTCATTTGGTAGACCAAAGAAAGACCGCTAAATGTCCTTATGTTCAAACATCGTGACCACACCTCATCAGGAAATCTTTAAGTTTCTGCAGCTTGGTTGGGATAGACCAAGGTTTGTATACAAGTTTCAAATCTTGTGGGCACAAATTTAAGTCAGATTTTCACACAAATAAAGTCAGTCTGCTACTCTACAGGTCAAACTAGGACAGGTAAGCATGTGAGCGCTGTACAGATAAAATGTATTGTTTAGGGAAGGCTAAGCTGCATGACAAACACGATATGATCAGCTCACAGGTCAAAGAGTGGATGTTTCTTAGACACAGTATGAAACCTAAAAGTGAGTCTGACCTCTCCTCGGCGGGCCGGCTGACCGTCTGTTTTGTAGGTGCCTTCTTGCGTTGGTGAGCTCCCTCCAACAGCTCCTCGCCCTGAGGAAAGATCCCCTCCATCAGGTCCATGGTGGTCTTCATCTTGCTCTGGTCCAGAATATCAACCAGGGATTTGTCTTTTCCCATGATGTCCCGGGCCAGCTCCTCCCTCTTTTGGTCCTCGTTAGACGCTCCTGTGGTTTTTGTGGTCACCGTGTTGCTGCTGGGCTCGTCTGTGGGCGGCGGCGGTGGCAGCTGCTGACTATCCGAGCTGATGAGATCTCTAACGGTGCTCATGTATGTGTCTCTCTGGGGCTGTGGGTCCGTCTGAGCGTCGGGCTCCCTCTGACGAATGAAGGCACAGAAGACAGAGTCCTGACCTGCAGCTCCAATACTGCCAAGTCTGGTCACACCATGACCCTCCGACTGGACAGCAGAAGGGTCACTGTGCCACAGAAATGGACTGTTCTCCTTCTCCGAGGTTCCCTCTGAGTGCACGATCCTGATGGGAACTTTCTTCACTGCAGACATTTGGTTTTCTATTACATGCTCCATCCTGAAAAATCAGACAAAGAAAGAGAAACTTAAAAACAGAAGCCCTCAAATTTTCCCTCTAAGAGGAGGAGAAAATCTCTTGTTGCAGTTATCTGAGCATTTCACTGATTTAAAGTTTCACTGCATGATGGCAACTGAGATTTTTTCCATGCCCAGTACTCTGCTCTATCCAGGACTCCTCCCACCAGTTTGGTTTCTGCTCACTGTTCTAATCCTGCTGCACAGTCTCACTGCACGTTCAGCACAGATGATATCCATTAGTTCTGAATCAAGAGGATGAACAAACAGCTTCACAATGAGGGCATTTACGCTAAATTTACACTGCAAAAAGTGAAATCCAAGTCAGATTTAAAAATCTTTAATCAAAGCTGTATCTTTTTATTCTTATTGGAAAAAATAGCTCTTCTAACCAGGCTGCTTTTATGTTTGAGAATTTTACTTTCTGCAAGCTTATTTTGTCCTTAATGATGTTGACAAGATGTAATAGCTTTTGTCTCTGATCTTATCACTAGTTTTGACTAACATTATGCTTGAGTATAGAAAATGCAGAATCAAAAGAAAAATAATTTATTTTTCTGAGTATTTTATCATTTTTATTTCTTCAAATTTGAATGACTAAAGGCAGTTCTATTCTCATCAAACTCTGAACAAAGCAAGGATTTCTGCCTACAGATGTGAAGAACAAAAACATTTCTTAAAAGTGAGAAACAAATAATGAGACATTTCAACTGTTGAACAATCTGTAACACCCCACAAGTGGGATTTTACTTGAAGGCAAGTTTGGAAAGAAATGTATTAGCCTGAGATTTATAATCATTACTTTTGGAGAAAATGTATTATGAAAAATCCACTTTTACAGTGTTTTTGGGGGTTAGGGTTAGTTGCTGTTTTGTTTTTCTTCACAAAAGTCAGGGTGTATAGCCAAATATAAAATGACTGAAATAACACAGTATGCTAACGTTAATCACAGCTCCTACAAACTGAGAAAAAAGCTTCAGTTCTAAGACTTAAGATATTTTATCCTGTTTTTAAAATAAATCATTTTAAGTGTCAAAAGTGTGGTTCCTTATTCTATAAGAAAATAAAGTTGGTTACATTTTATTGTTTGTTTTTTGCAAGCTCTTTTTTTGCAGTGTTTACACTCCAGTAAAATGGCTTGAGGGAAAGTGGCTTTCATAGAAATGTGGATAATCCCATTTATTTACTGCGGCTTGATAACACTCAAATGGTGGTTGTACAAAAGCCGAGACTCTCAATAAGCTCCTTTGTACGAGCAGCATAAAGACACGATGAGTAGAGGAGTTACAGACACTGTTCAGTTTAAAAGCTGCAGCAAAACTTTGCATTTCTGAGTAAATCCCCCCCCTGCTGAGGAAACAAGAAAACTTTACCCATTAGCGTCTTCATCCTGCAGAGAGACCGGAGGTTTGTCGCTGAGTCTCTGAGGGGAAAACTGCGGCGATGGGGAGCGCTGCCTCTCCATGTTGGCCGTCACAGGAGGTCTGTAGGAGGAAGCCGTGGGAGAGGAGGCTGGCTGAGGATTGGATGTTGATAGATGATGCACTGCCCCTTGTCCTTTGTCCTCAAGCCCTTTGCCCTGCTCAGAATCTGCCTTTGCAGAGTGGGTGGGGGCAAAGGCGGGGTTAGGGGCAACGTGAGGAGGGCAGTGGGTGAAGATTTCACTCTGGGAACCGGTGGAGGACTTGTGGGACTTGACCTCTGGGTAACTTGGACGTGGGGGAGGCTTCTCCGGCACAGAGAGCTTCTTCCTGGGCTCAGTTGCGTCCTCGTGCTGTGGGTGAGTGGACTCTGTGAGGCTGTGAGAGATAGACGAGGCTCTGTGGTTCAGGGGTGCAGGGGCTGCTCTGTGTCTGCAGTCAGGGTTTGCTCCTGTCATGGGTAGAGGGGGCGGTGCTGGGTACTGTTCAAACTCCACAGGCTTTTCTCTTATTTTACAGTCTCCTGGCCCTCTGTCAGAGAACCTGAGGAACACAATTGAAAGCTTTTAATGACACACTGTTCAGGAGGCAGGCAGCGTGGACTGTCATCTGCAGCTCAATCAAATAACAGAGCGCAGCAGAGGAGGCCTCGCTCGTCTCTCCTGCAGCCACCGTGATTATGCCAACATGACAACACACACGTCTCCCTCTCCTCTCTGCTGACTGCTCAGCTGGCAGCATGAAGAGGAATATTTCTGTTCCCAAGCAGTCAGCACGGAGGAATAAATAATCCTCCAGTGCAAAGGAGCAGGACAGGATCACTTTTTCCTTCCTGAATCACATTTATACTTTTAACTCTTTGAAGGTTAAGTTGCACAAGGAGCTAGGTTTGAAGATCACAGGAATCTTTTTAGGTCTCATGGTGGCTACAGGAGTTAAAGTGAATGTCTTCTAGATTGGAACCAGCAGACACCTTTTGCATTAGCACAATTGAAAGTTCCCCTCGGGACACATTGTAAAGCTACAGTGGAGTTTTGAAATCGACTGCAATTAATACAGATGCCCTTTTAGGACTTCATGTAACAAACAACAACATTGTCATAAAGATTGTTTATTTCTATACCCTCATCTTAATGCTTGTAAATGCTGCTTCAGGGTGTCAGACGAGGATGTGGAAGAAAATGTCTTTTTCGGTTAAGAGATTAGAGATATCACTTTGTCCACAGGGGGCGCCAAAACAAGCAAAACTGAAAGTTCCTCCCAGGAGTTTTAATGTATATAAATATACTTTGCTAGGCTTAGTGATTCATTGAACAGTTTTTTCACCTAAAAGTTAAAAAAGTTAGCCACGTTTTAGCTCAGTGGTTTAATCGTGCTTCCCCTGGAGGGAGGCTGTAGCCACTGAAGCGACGGGCCTGGACTCAACACCACATGACATTTACAACATGTCCTCCCCAACTCTATCAGACCATGTTTTTCATTTTATCCACTGTCACTGTCCTGTCCTCTCAATGAAGGCAAGAAAAGCCCCCCAAAAAATATTTAAAAAAATACAAAAAGCTTCTAGATCAAGTCCCACACAACATCTACATCCGGGAACGAAAGTGAAAGAGCAAACTAAGATTGATGCTTATAGTGGAAACATGGCGATAATTAGCTGTACAAGTTAGAGCCTAAAATAGAAACAGACTCAGAACAAGAATCTGTTGTGCATCAAAATCTCAGGCTAGTTGGCATATCAAAGTGTAGTTAGTATCTTTGTTTATAGTTTTGCTATTTGAAACTGGCAGTGTTTGTGCAACATAAAATAATATCTGTTCAAACGTTTAACAAAGTTTTGTGGTAGATAATCTTGTTTGCTCCAGAGGATTTAGGTTTTCTTTGCTGGGAGTTTTTGACAGTGCTTTCTAGTTCGGTAACTCACAGATCTAACTAGTCAAGTGTACATCATGTGTTTTAATCTCAGATATTTTAGGAAAGTGCACATATGTTTACACCTTCAGTAGTATAGAGTAAAAAGCCCTCACTAATGAAAGACTTTGCATGAAAACAAGTCAGAGAAGTCAAGGGAGGACATTTTAAAAGCAAAAGAAAAACACATTTTTGAGGGACTCTTTAACACAACAGTAAAAAGAAGAAAAATTCTGTCATTAAACGAGATCTAGACTATACAGTGAAGGCATGCACACCCACCAACTACTGTGGTTTCATGCTAACAGATTACATTTCCATGAATGCTACGATTCAAATCCAATAAGGAATACTTAGACATAAATCACGCTGCTTTGATTAAACTGGACTGACTCTGGAGTCACAAGATACAGAACGGTGACTTCTGGACAGCCAGACGCCGTAACTCAAACCTCCAAAGAGAGATTCTTACAAGCTGTGACAAATCACCCAATGAACAACTGCACTGCAGCTTTAACCCCGCCCCCCTGCGTCAGCCTCAGCTCTGCAGAGACTGTGAGAAAGTTACCTCGTAGACACAAGCAACATGATGCTGGAGATATAAGTGCCGTGCACAGTTTGAGTGACGTGTTGATTTATGTCAGTGTTGAATTCATGATATTTTGACATTGATATGATATAACATAATTAAATTAAGAGAAGGTCATTTAGTGTTGCTGTTGGAAAATGGGTATACAAACACTGAATAATGTAACACCAACATCTGTTTCGATATGATACAGCATTTCAGTTGAATTGTTAGCTAACTAAGCTGCACACATTAAATGGGAGTGTTAGTATTTTTAAACATGAGCTCTATTTTTCTCTGTACTGCACAGGTACACTTTTTTTTTTTTTTTTTTTAAATAACTCCACGAGATTGCGTCAACCAGCAGCAGTAAAAGTGAAAAGTTAACATTAAGGAAATCAAACCCTCAGAGATACTAGTGTGAAACAGTTTCTTATACAGAAACAGATGATTCTTGTTGCTTCCTGCAAAGCTACCAGACTGGAGAACACAGGAGCTGCTGGTCTACTCCCACTTCACCCAGTTGATTTGTTTTTTTATTGTTGATACTTAAGGTTTAGCCCCTACCAAATACAGCACATGAATAAAAACAAACTTTCTGGCTCAGGCAGTGATACAGAAGAAGTTGCTTTTGCTACAATAACAATTTTTGTCAATGGAGTCTGGTCATTGAAGGGTGCAGTGTAATAACTTGTTTAAAAAAGCAGATCTTTTCCTGAAGGGGACCTTTCAGTAAAGATATTTAACAAATTTGACAAACAAGAACTTTCTAATGTTCGAGAGCTTTTCCCCTCCAAAGATCATGTTGCAATTACAGACTTTCCATGAATGCTGGCTGAAGCAATCTAATCAAACATTTGAACAACTTTTTGCCCCTTTTTTGTCAATTCTAAAAATATAGAATAATATAAAACATATAAACGTACAAACTCAACTCACCCTAAGTGACGTTTAACTGCAGTCATTTTCACAGAAGAAGAGTAACAGTGAGTGTGTTGTGTGTCTGCTGGCTCTCTGAGACAGAGGCCACCTGTGGGTGTCTCTTTACACCTGTATCTATAACAATATGTGGGTAGAGCGCTCCTCCCTTAGCTTATCTCCCACACCTTTCTATAACAATAACTTCCTGTGCACTGTTCTCTGTTGTTGTAATGCAAACGTGAGTGTCATATGGTGTGGCTCCTACAATGGGATTGCTCAAGATGGGACACTCTACACCCATCGCTGTGTTTCACCTGTGGGAGTTTAGATAACCCAACAAGACTCCTGAATAACTGGTTATGAACCATGAAGTCATCTTGACCTCACTGCCAGACATATTTTATGAATGATTCAACGTAATCTGATGCAAGTGATGCTGTAAAGTTTTGCTGTTTTGTACTTCCCTAAAGTTGATTCACGAAATACAGACTTCAAACTAAATGTGAAAAATCAAAGACGCAGACGGATTGAGGTCTTTTAAAAAGGGACACAGTTTAACATGAAAATCCTAAGAAATCTAAAAGACAATGTTTTTTGTTTTATAAAAGTGGCATGGTTATGTCGGACCTCAAAAAGAGCTTTGATGGTTTTTGCATAAAGCCTAAACTTCTGACTCAATAAAAAAGGCGTGCTGATAAAAAGGTGGTGTCTTGGTGTTTTTGTTTAATTTTTCTCTCCTGATTTCAGGTTCTATCTAACGGTCAACATTTTAAAAACACCCTGATACTAAGGTTGTCAATTTTTTCTCTACATGACTACTTTTGGATACCAGGTAATTTGAAACAATACAACCTCTTTATTTTTATTATAATATCATAAAGAAAACTTCTTTAGCCATGTTTAAAGTAAAAGCTGCTGCTAGTTAGTCCAGAGAGAGTCCTCGCTGTCTAATTTACACAAAAAGGCCTCTGTGATCATATTTGTGCAGATTAGACAGGGCAAGAGTTTCCCCACAATTGTTGATAATCAAAACAAGAAATAATCCAATATTGGACGCCTGGGACTTTTTTTTGTTGCCGTGGCATCAAAACAGGTATAGACATTGTTTGACTCCTAGAGGTATCATTACAGCTTTAATTGCTACTACATTTCCTCAATGGTGGCTTTTATTAAACCCTGTCTTTCTTTCTATCAAATCCCTAAAGAAAGGGTTTAAATTTCTCTCTGTATTAGAGGTTAACTGATGTTCATGTGTAAATGTGACAGAATATCCCTTTAACACGAGGAACAGCTAAGATTAACTGGGCATGATACTGGGCACTAAGTAAAGAGAAGTGAACTCCAAAACGTAACAATAACAATCATTTAACCTTAAAGCTAAGCTCAAACTGTTTTCATATGACATGAGTTCATGTGGGATCATCACAGGATCATATGAACTCATCAACATTACCTGTAAACACTTCTACCTGCCCATAAAACAAACAGTCTCTAAGAAGGCTTTAATCCAGTCTGCCCAAACCACTTAATACACACGCACAGCCTCATGTAATTATTATTATTGTGAGGGCTGTTTAAACTTATTTTAGACTGATAGAGAATTTAAGACAAAGTAGGTTTTAATACGTCCATGTTTGTTAAATGTCTGTTTTTCTCAAAGATGTTATTATTATGTTAGAAAAAAATGATACGCTGCTGTTAAAAATGAAATGAATGAAATTGTTTTCACTAAAGCCTGAATTTATCGAGGAGGATCAGGGTCAGGCATGAGAAATAAATAATGAGAGGAGGAAGATTTTTTTCATTATGCACTTTGAGAAGAAAGCAGAAAAGATGAGAATAAAATTGAAATACAATTTTGAGAATAAAGTCAAATATTACAAAGTTGTATTTCAACATTTCCACAAAATGCATAATGGAAAAAAAACCTAACCCATCATTATTTATTTTTCTTGTCTGAATTAAAGGTTGTGCTGACTAAGTAATTAGGTAAATTGATATTTTTGAGTAAGGAGAAATGTAAGTTATACAGTTTTATCTCCAGACCTTTAAATAAACTACTCAGTAAGTGTTAAGGTAGGAACCAATGCTCTCTAGGGTATTAACTTGCTAACATTTTTCTAATTCATGACATTGGTAAATGTACTTGAAAAAAAAAAAAAAGAGGACAATCATTTCATGAAAATTTGCGCTGATGCTTGATCTAGAAATGTTATGGTATCATTGGTATTATATAAGGTCATTCCTCGTGGAACATCCTGGTACCTGAACCACATTTAACAGTGATGAACACAGTAGTGCTATGACTTTTATGGTGGTGCTTTTAAAGATACCAAAGTAAAAAAATATCTGTACAGTAAGCAGTAAAAATAACTGTATTAGTTGTTAAGATATTTTAGATCTGAACTAAGTGTTTGACCCATTAACTGACCTACATCGCCATCCGTAGAGTTAACCGCCAGCAAGCCTAAAAATCCAATTATACAAAGCAGTAGATCTTGTGATAATTCAATGCCTCGAGTTGGCCCAGTGAACTCGGGTCCCCATTACATTCTTACAGACGCACAGTGAAACACTTCCTCACTGTCACAGTCATAGTCAGAGGCCTCGCCTGCAGCAGTAAGCCTCCAATGAACGACACAAAGCACAACCAGAGGGACGGCTCATGTTGTCACAGCTGCACACGGGCAGTGCCAGTGTTATAAAGACTTCTCTGTTCCTCTGCAAGTTTTCTGCACTCTTTCTCTGATTAAACTCAGTAGAAGCAAGCGATAAAACAAAAATCACCCCTAGTCATGATGAAGACACTGATGCAAGACAAAATAATAAATTAAAGCAAGCACTGTTCATTTGAACGTAAGCATGCTGATTCAACTAACAACAAAGTCCTGACTGAAGACCAACAACAAGACTATTATCCCCCCTCCCCTAACTCAAGAAGAAGCTATCACTGGAGTCAAACATGGAGTCAAACATTGAACCCATAAACACGGACCTTTCTGTCATTTTCACATTTCAAGATAAACAGGAGACAAAAAGCATTCGTCCTTATAAAGTAACTGGTGCTCAAAACAGTTAGATGAAATTAAGTGTACTCACCCTGTGGCAGTGCTGAGCTGTTCAGCAGGTTTACTCTCAGTCTGGGAATATTCCGTCTCAGACTTTCTTGCAGGCACTTGAATTTTCTGTAAATAAAGTTAAATAAACACAAAGTCTGTTATGCAAAACCATGTAAACAATCTATCACAAAAAGGCTTCCAGCCCTTCTCCTTTTTGTTACTTATTGTAACCAACACATGTTGCAGCTTCCTGGTTTTTCCAACAATGAAAAACAAGTCAGCAGCTTGATGCCCCTCTCTTTTCCTTAAGCGGAGGGTGTGTCATTATGAACAAACATGGATTAATATTTGACTTGGCTCTATCCTTTGTTCCTTTCACTTCACTCTTAATGAGATATAAAGCCATCTTGAGAGCTACAAACACACAGTTGTAACATAAGTGACTTAAATCAAGAGACTTCTCCTTTTTTGATTGTTTAAATAATTGCTTCCCTCAAACAGTCAACCTTATGATAAGACTATGTGACAGCAGCCTCAGTGGACTCAAGTCTGAAGTATTCTTGGTTTGGTCAGTCACAGAAAAGAAAAGCCTAAAACTCCATGCAGGAGCTTCTGTAGTGTACCTGTAATGTACTGATACATTTAGAATCGTTACTGCTTTGAGCATTTGCATTGTTGCTAACTGGAAGCTTCCTTTGTGCATGTAACCTACAATCTGTATTTTAATTTTAATTTTAAAGGTTTATTTGTAATATAGAAAAGTGTTCGGGATGTTACTTTAAAGAAATTGTGTCAGCCATCCATCATCTATACGGCTTATCCTGTTCAGGGTTGCTGGTGGCTGAAGCTGATCCCAGCTGTCATTGAGAGGCAGGGTACACCCTGGACTGGAGACCAGACAATCACGGGGCTGACATAAAGAGACAAACAACCAGGCACTCTCACACTCACACCTACAGGGAATTTAGAGTGGCTAATTAACCTTACAATCATGTCTTTGGACTGTGGGATGAAGCGGGAATAAGTGGAGGGAACCCATGCATACAAACAGCACTAACCACTGCACCATCAAGCAGCCACACAGGCCTGCCACTTAAATACTTTTCCTTTACACTTGTGAGATTACGGAAGCATATTGCATTCACATGAGAAAAGAAAAATCAGCTCCTTTTCTAAACTATGGAGATAAGTATCTAAGAATTACTTGTAACATTTTTATGAAAAAATAAACAAAATACAATTCTGCACTGTTTTTCTGAATTTCCGAGATACTGATACCTCCAAATCCTAACAGAAACTCTCGTTTAGAGCACGTAAAGTAGCAAACATCCCCCAGACTGTTGAGTTTAACACAGTTTGGTTTTTGTTTGGATTTGAAACATGGGGACATACTCCCTGTTTAGGTTACAGAGATGGTATTGTTATTAGTTTGTTGACTTTCTGCAGGCAACTTAGATCTTTGCAGCTCAGATGCAACCCCCCCCCCTCTGTCAGGAGGATCAGCTGTGTCGATAAGACATGCTTCACTGACATAACATGATGCATAAGAAATGCATTCAGGCAGGCTACAATCAGGTAATTGCTAAAAATACTGGATCACAAACGACTTTTCATTACAAAAGGTCACTTGGAATCTCAAGAATGTCTTGAACAACTTTTCGAATATCTGGCAACACTACCTGACCTGTATGGACATCGTTCCAGCGCCTTCATCAGACTGGATGTAAAGATGTTATCAAAATTGATACACCATTAGTCATCTGAATAAGTCGACTTTGTTTACATTACATCTCTCTTTCTTTTTAAATGTTGTTTTTGTTATAAGTCTACTCCTTCTGAGTAGAGTCCTCTTTCAGTTTGTATGTGGGTGGAACAGGATGGGGATTCAGAGCCATCTGTTTCTGACGTTTAAAAGAGGAATCTAAAGAAAGTGCTAGAGGACACAAATCACAGTTTATGAAGGTGCAAAGGACTAACGTTGTGCCACGCACTGCAACACAGTGCACAACCAAATGTCAGTTTTTTAAAATAGTCTTTTAAACGTCTAATTTCTCTGAGCTCTGAGAGCACCAACCTCCATCTGTGGAGAAGTATAAGCGCAATAGATTCCTTTTACCATCTGTGTCTGAGTATGTATATGTATATTGCATATCTAAGAATTCCAAGAAACAAAGTGTTGATCACAGTTGTTTGATAAAGTGTTTATGTGGGCCTGAACTATTTTTAGTTTTAAAATTTGGCCGCAGCATTTTTAAGTTTGTAAATGGCTAACCGAACTAATATAAACATCTGAAAACTAAGAAAATGTTTTGACGGGGGAAGCCTTAACTCCAATACAATGTTTGTTTAAGTCATTGTGGAACGCAAACATCCAGACTCACCTGTCCATAGAAGTCAGCTGAGGGAGACGACCTGGATCTCTCATGGAAACAGGTGGTTTTGTCTTTCTCCTCTGGTCCTGCATCCAGGATGTTATCAGCCGACCGGTACCGTCCTGACGCTCTAGTTTCTGGGTTTGTCTTTTGAATATTCCACCTCGCCTCGTATTCAGCGAAAGTGCCCAGTCTCTGCTGGTCAAGGACTGACAACTTGTGTGCAGAGAAAGGACCTCCCTGGACCACCTCGGTGTACTCTCTGCCTCTCGTGCCTTTCAGTGGTTCCTCTGTTTCACTGTTGGAGACCGGACCTCGGGCCTTGATCTCTGTGGGGATCTCATTAGAGCTCTGGGGAGGGAATGGATTGGGCAAAGCTAGTTCTTTAAAGAGATCCTGTTTGTCCTGAGAGGAGCTTGCATTTTCACTTCGAGAGGGATCATCCTTCACCCCGACTTCATGGATTTTGTCTGGTTCTGAGAAAGACCTCCCCTTCTTCTCTGCAGGAAAACGCTTACGGCCTCCGATACGAGTCACCTGAACTCCTACAGTACCAGATTTACTCATCACAGACTCTGAGACAGTCGGCAGAGAGGGGATATCTTTACGGATCAGTGCTGAAGATGGATAGTTAGGTATGGTCTCAGCTGCAGGGTGCTCCAGTAAGACAGGCTCCAGGTCTTTCCTCCTGAAAGATGTTGCCTTCAGTACTCTTGCCTGTGCTTCCTTCAAATTATCTTTGTAGGTGTTGGTGAAGGGGCTGCTTGCAGAGGTTGGGATGGTGCTTTCAGTAGACTTCCAGACATCCTGATCACCTTCAGTCTCACCCTCAGTACCAGGAAGTGTAGCTGCACTCATACTTTTCTGCAGCCTAGCTCTTCTCATCTGGATTTCATTCCTTAATGTGGTTGCAAAGCGGTCGCTCCGTCTCACCTGTTTGCCTTCAGGAGACTCCTCACCGTCTGGGCCTCTTGTTTTGTCGTCTTGGCCAGCGACATCCAGGGACAGAGAGTGCAGCATGGGGGTCGTCTGAGGGCAGATTTTGTTGCTGTGGTTTCTCATTTCCGGGGGTAATTCTCTGTGTTGTATTTGAAGAGACCTCCGCTGTTCAGAGTGTCTGCTTGGAGGATAGCTCATGAACTGAGGCTCTGCATGATGTGTGTTTTGTCCTCTCTGGCTTCCCCTATCATCATGGCAAGATTTAGGTACAGAGGCTTGTGGTACAGTGGTAACTTGGTGCTTATTGTACCCATTACTATCTTTAATGTGGGGGGAGTGTTGCTGTGGTTGGGGAGGTTGATACTTGACTTTAGTGACACTCTGTGGGCTCAGAGAATTATGCTCATTAGCAGTCTGTGACAACTCTACACCTGGGACACTCCTCCTGTCCTCTGGTTTCCCTGACAGGGGCTGTGGGTTGGGCTGTGTGGGCTGACATGTTGTGACACAGTAGTATCTGCTTTGCCCAGTGCTGTCAGCGTTTGGGTCAGTGGCAGAGTTGCTTAAATTCCTTCTCTGGTTCTGACCAAAGTGTTGTGCAGAACCGTTAGTGGGCAGTTCCTGCAGGCTACTATAGTATCCACCTACATTCTGTGGCTTTGGTACAGACGTAGCCCAGGGCTGAGAATATAAAGTGCCTTTGTCACTGTGGTGCCTCTGATGGTGGGGCTGGCCTTGCCGAACATCACTGCTGGACAAGGAGTACTGCTTGTTAGAGTTGAACTGTTCTGATTGATCAGATGTAGTGTAAAAACTGTCACTGTCATTTTTCAGGGGAACTTTATGGCTGATTCGATTTTCAGAAGGAGTCTTAGAGGGTACGTAAGATTCAGATCTGTCAGGATGAGCTACAACAAGCCCTCTTTCATGCACCTTAGTTGCAGCAAAACTGTCGCTGCGAGCTGGTGGAGGGGGAGGTGGTGGAGAGGGGGAAGCAGTCTTTTTTTTCTCAGGGACATGCCACACAGGTCCACAGCTGGTTCTACTTGAAGTGGAATGACGGGATCCAGGAGGGTCCTCAGTCTGTGCACCCTCACAGGCTGCGCTGACTCCTGGCATCTGAAAGTACGCCACCCGATCGTCCTGTCTGACTCCCTCCATCAGGCTGTTCTTGCCATTGCTGTGCTTTCCTCCTGAGTCCCACTGACTGAACTTATAAAGCATGTTCTCTGTGGAGGCGGTGTTGCTCTTTGAGAGGGTGTAGTCCGGTGTGCCAGAGCTGGTGGAGAAGGAGCTGTAGGCAGAGTCTCGTTTCCCTCCTCCCAGGTGCTCCATACTGTTGTTGGACTTAGCAGGTGAAAGCTGGCCGGCAGGGTATTGATGTGGGACATGTTCTAGACTGTCCATACTGCCCAGAGAGCTGAACTGGTCGGACACTCGGCGCAGGTTTGTCTGCTCCCAGCCGGAGGAGAGATCAGTTGAAGAAGAGCTGATGGAAAAAGTTAAAGACAGAGAGTAAAAATATATTAAAAAAACCCTTTTCTTTCACCTGCAGAAACAGGCATTGACCTAAACAGCTCTGCTGTAATCACGTTTTGTACCATGTACTACTACCGATAAGATATCAACTTAAACAAAGACAGCTCAAATACAGCTCAGGGCGGATTAAATGCATGACTTGGAACCTATTCTTCCTATTTCTTTGGGGGGGGAAACATTCTTATCAAACTTTTTTAGGGGATGTCATAAGACTGAATGCTTTGACTCCACAAACAGAAGATATCTTCTGACATCTTTCATATTTAAGGCAGATAATATGAACTCATGCCTTCAAACAGGCAAGGCAAGCTTATAATGTAGCACATTTAAGCAAAACAGCAATTCAAAGTGTCAAAGAAGAGCCTGATATATGTTAATCTATGTTACATTGGTGTACAAATGTCTTGCACAGATATACCAATGACGCAAAAGGTTGTATCTTATGGTGTTGTATATTACGCTTCTTTAAAGTATGGCTACACAAAAACCAGTAAAATGCAACGTTTGAATTGTAGAGGAGTAAGGGGACATGTCCAGAGTCTGGAGGGGGAAATGATTGAGGCTGTTAAAGGTTTCGGGTTTATAGCTGTGCTGAGTGTTCTTTAATATATCAGAAACCCCTCTGACCATAATTATATACTTCTGAATCAAAGTCCATACCTCACACTGAGACTCAAAAGAAAAGGCTTGAAAGTAAGTTACCTTGCATCATATCTGGTGTGCCAGACTTTGGTGGGTGGAGACTGGGTTTTGGCAGTCTCTGATTGGTTTTCGTTGAATTTGGTGGAGTGCCAGGAGTGAGGCCTACTTATGGGTTCATTCCGCCTGCAGAGAGGGCATAAAATACAGACTGGATTAAAGAGCAGCCACTTTATGGAGAACAGTATGTGCTGCTTCCACATTTAACTGGCACTGCAACTAAACAAGTGAAACATTGATTTAGTTTTAATGCATCTATAATCGAGGAAATGTGTTTGAGTGACTTCAAAATCCAAAGATGAAACGATAAAGATTTTTACCTAGATTTTTTTTTTTTGAGAAATACAGAACTTTGCACAGTTGTCAGTTTTGCACACAAAACATACCCTTTAAAACGATTCTTTCTGTATTGCATGTCAGGAAAAGTAAACACACACACACATCAGCATAAAATGACATGCATCAAAATCAAATGCAATTTTATACTGACACAAAAACATACATGTCACACACAGACACTGTACTGCATGCATGGGATAAAGATGATGCATCTAATGACACGGAGCACAAAACACATGCCAAAGAGTGCAACCATGGGAGAGGGAGAGTCACTATGAGAGTAATGAAGATGATATTTATCACTAAATGAAAGATTAAAATGAACATGGGCACCAGGAGAGGAAAAAGGGGGAATAGGTAGTATACTACGTAAGTGAGTAATAGCTACTTTCAACGATGAAGCCACAAAACCGTACCTCATGGAACTTCGCAAAATCTTCGTAAGAAAGCTTCTCGCCACATGCACGTCATTCTCTGAGGGCATTTTCTGAGTTACAATATCCACCATTTTCATATTCCTGGGCAGCAGGGGGAGGAACACACACATACTAAGAGCTCACCGACAGTTAAACTGGACTCACAGTAGAAGACAGGACACCAAACATTTAGTGTATGCACACAGTAACACTGCAGAAAACTCAGTGTGTTGTCTTGAAAGCTCGGAGGTTCTCTAAATCTCCTATGATCACATTGAATTATCACAGTGTTATAATTCACAGGAGATAAATATGCAGCTTTCAGGATTTTAAAGGTCTGCCGGTACATGGTGTTACACCCCCCTCTCCTGGTCAAACTGATGCATGTTCATGATGGCTCGCAGTTTTAGGTCTGATGAGAAATATGACAGCAAACCCTTTATGATGACTTTAAAACACGGAAACAACAATGTATTGAAGCAGCGTTTCTTATCTCTGATTGGGTTCATTATCTAAACAGTATGTGAGGCTGAAGTGAGCTGGTTTGTTCTCAGACTTTGCCATATGGTCCCAGGGGGGAACACAATCCCAGCATGAAGCAGGGGGGCTTAACACAATACAGAATCTCTTACACAATCAGATCAGTCACATCAGCCCACAATCCAAGCTGTCGTCTGCCTCCCAGACAGCCTTTCAATCCTCAGAACTGACACCATTGTGACTGCTAGTCACTCAGTATGTTGGTTCTCTAATGGAGGGACTGAAACCTCTTGGGGTAGCTTTGAGAACTGCAATTGTACGTGATTTAAAAAAATGTATATGCATTCAATCATGTTTGCCTAAAAAAATAGTAAATGTGAGCCTGATTGATTGGATATTTATTTTTATCCTATTGAAAATGTAATCGTAAACTGCCTTAAGCTGTCACTAAAAGCACAATGGAGTTCTAGTTTGTGTGTTATTGGCATGTTGTTTATATTTGGGAAAAGACGTTTTTGATTCCTAGACAAAAAAAAAAAAACGTATTCCTGTTTGAAAGGTAGCAACAATACAGCTGAAAACATCCGGTAAAAAAAGTAAAACAGAACCTACAATTTGCTATTTGTGCCAATAAGAACATGTTTTAACACCTCCAAGGCATTATGTTTTTTATGGGAAAAATAAGGCAACAATTGCATGAAGTCATCCCATGTCATGAAGTTTTTTGTTACAAGGTTGTATTTTATCAAAACAGTCAATGATGGAGAAACTCTGTATCATATTCTTATTCTACTATAATGTTTGTTGCTGGTCAGGGGGCTTGGAGGTAAATGATTGAGAGGTGGTTAGGGCCTGTGTCCACTAAATGCTTTTTTTACTACTGAAAAAAGCTGTACCAACTTTGTACCAAGTACACTTGTAGTTACTATGTAATGTAAGGGAATATAGTCATGTTATACCAATTAGGGAGATAATTAATAATATGTAAAATAATGAGAGAAAATAAAATAATAACATATTTTACAAACTTAAATGGCTCATCTACATTAATTTAAGTGCGTATGGCTTTACAGCATTAGTTCACACACAAGTCTTTGGTTATAAAAAGATGAGCCCGTCTCTGTATGGTCTGATACAACGGCTGAGGCTAAAAGGAAGAGGATGGTAACTGATGAAGCTCAGAAGAGAAAAAGAGAGTTTGACCGAGCAGGAAGCAGAGTGTACAACCCTGCAGACATTATGCATAGCACATTTCGTAACAATGTTAGGCTGTATATCGGTATCATTGTTTGTCTCATGTTAAGCAGCCCCATGTGTCTTAACAGAGTGCAATTGCACTCAGAGACCTTCCACTGGCGCCAAAGTGCACCAAACCAAATTCCTTCCTACACATTCTTGCTTTAAGGCCTTTGTCTTATTTGGTATTTTCTCATTGCCCTTTGTTAAGATCAGCTTTTGACATCCATCAAAGAAACATATATACTCTCAGATAAGAGCAAATGCTTTTGAATTCTTATGTTTAGTTTAACATTAGAATAGAACAGAACAGATGTTTATTGCCATTTGCACAGACTGTACGGGGCAGTAAAGGTCATTTCAATTTTTGTGTGTTGGTCCTTATATTCTATGCCGGTCCTGATATTGTGTGTCACTGAGATGGAACAGGAGGATATTAGCATCATACTGGTCAAGAAGGCTTGGCTTGCTTACGTTCGGACTGGGCTCAAGACTTGCCCTACAAAGACACGGGGCCAGGAGGTCGCACCCCCTCAGTCACCTTGTCTAAAGGCCTTCAATGATCTGATGACAAGAGGGGCAAACAAAAGCTTCCTTTTAGATGGAGACCTGAAAACAAACCACTGAAATGCAAAACATAAGCTTTCATCTTTCCACTTAACACTGTTTTTCCTGATTGAGAATCTTTAGATTGAGACACAGATTTAGTTAAGCTGAATAAAGTGGGTCAATTCCCCAAATTTAATTGTGGATTAAAGTTCAGGCCTGTTCAGAGGACAAAGAAAAAGCCAACATGGAGCTCAGTCTTCCTCGTTTCCACACAGTCCGTGTTTCTGGGGCACTAGGAGCTAGCCACACATGGCGCCTGCTATTGGTATGCAAATGAGGTGGGTTTTATTAGGCCTATCGTCAGGGCTACAGCTGGGCCGGCACAGATATGCTAGAAAGTGAATCAGTTGGCTGGAATGGGGGCAGGGGGAGAGGCTGTTTTCTGAGTGACCGGTTTGGAGCCCCAAATCACTTCAAATGTATCCGGTACCAACCAGTCCAGGTTCAAAACTAAACAGATCACATATGCACAAAGTCAACTATCTTAACTTTTATAGAAACTAGCAGCCAATTAATAAAAACCCTTCTGAAGAATATTCCCATCAGGTTTACCTTTAAGCCTTTTCCCTCAAAGATTAATTTGGTTTTGAAATGTTAAGTCTAGCTGATCGTGGCTTAACCTAAATGATGGCTGACCTCTTATTGAATGATATTACAAAAACAATAACAGAGTATTAGGGTCAAAAACTTGAACCAATATGTCTACCAGTTTTACACTGACATAGCAAAACAAAAAAAACAGAAGGTATAGAAGCTTTTAAATACACAAGTTCAAATTATGAAAACATCAAATGTTCATTTTGACTCACCAAACATCTGGATGGAGGAATTCAAAAACTGACTAAAAGAAATGTGTAATCCAAAAGATCATTTAAGAATATTTAACTGGAGAAGAGTTAAGGATTGAGACCAATTGAGTCCGTGTGCTGGTCAGGCACTAGACTCCACTTCAGACACTTCAAAGAAAAAACCACAATAAAGACACATGCAGACTGACGAGCATCTTTGCTCAACTCCAACACTGATCCACGACCTGAAAACACACACCTACTTACAACTACAACTTAACATTCAACAGGACGGCCATAACTTTAACTAAATTCTCTGGGCAGAATTAGTTAGAATGAGGGGAGATTTCCTTCAGGATTACGGGGGTTTTACCCCTGAGAGGGGGGAGGAAGAGTGAACAGAGAAGGAGGAGGGTTATTGTCGCAGCCAGTCCCCTTGGAGTATTCCCGTACCTTGCCTCGTCTCATTGGCTCTAAGGGGCTAATATGCTAATGAACAGATGAAAAACTGGACTCTTCTCCCCTCTTGTGTGCCAGACCTGCATTTATACCATAACCATGGCAACAGGTTGCTCTCTAGGGTGGAAGGGCACCCTGATTCCTGAAAGCCTTGAGTAATGAGCAACACAACTGCCCAGGCAGAGACGTCAGCAGCACACGAGAGGCTTTTGTTTTGTTGGAAGAATTATTACAGGTTGGGTTTATTAAGGCTTGTTGCTTGTAGATTAATGAATGTGTGATTCTCAAACAACAACAACATTTCTGCCTATTTCTTTCTATTTCAACTAGTTTTATTGGTACATAATAACCTAGGTTGGGTTTACCTAATGAATTACTTTCTACTTTCTAAAACTCTTTTACACTTCATAATTTTAATTAAAATATACCACTACTATATATGCTGGTACAAACTAAGAATGACAAATTCATTCAAATTATTTTACCACATTCAATACTTGCAAGGTTTCTGCCAATAATCAGTATTCAGCGGACTGTCAGCTGCTTTTCTTTGGTAAGATAATCTATAAAATATTAAAGAGAAGTAAGAGGTAAAAAATAAACCGACAGGATTAACTAATTATGGGCCCTCTTTGAAACAAGTGCCTTAACTTTTTAAATGCTTAACAATGACGTATCAAAAATGTAAAAAGTTAATTTAAAATAAACTCAAGACTAAGTGCCCATACTTTAGTGTAACAGTCTGCAGGAGTTCTTTGCATACATTAACTCACACACAATTCTTCTACACACCTGTCAC